CGTTTGAATCATCAGTGGCAAATGATAAAAGAAAACGTACTTACAGTCTGTGAGTCAGAACAGCCGGCATTGTAGTCTACTCTCCCAGGATCAGGACACAGTCCTCCATAAAATGTGCCGGCGATCCACGGCACTAAGTTGAAGTATTCCCTCAGCGACCAGCACAGATCAGCTCTAGGCATGACGAAGTGGATATCGTCCTCTTTTGGAAGACCAAACAAAGTAGTTTCGTTTTCACAACGAAACACACAGCATCTTCAGGACATGGCGGCAGCGGCAATAACAATACTACAGCAAGAACAAAAGTTATGCCTTCTTGCTTTGCGTGAACATTTGGGCGGCGTTATGCAAATCTTCCCACATAGCGAGGTAGATATGTGGGGGCGTGTTCGAACGAGCCGTTTTAGGTAGGTGTGGCTGACTCTTAACTTTTATAAAGAATATATCTTTGGATTTGAGACTTTAGTCTTTGCAAATTTACAGATCTTCTTTATGCACCAAGAGCTTGTAACACTCCAAAGAGAAAGGAAAAACTGAAATCGCATCATATGACCCCTTTAATAAACAGTGTTTAACTCTGGCTCTTTAAATAAACTCAATTATAATTACAATTTTCTTAAGGATAAAAAAATCTTTCTTAGCTAATGATATACAATAGGCCTATTGTATATCATTAGCTAAGAAAGATTTTTTTAGAGCACATTACTAAAATGTTAAAGGCTGCAATTAACAACAGAGCCCAATCTATTAAATTCAATTTATATTTATTTTTATATACAATAACCAACACTAATATACAGTGTTCGATCTATACCGTGGACTTTGGGGGAGCCCACTTGTTTTATAAGGGGTGGGGGGGGGGGGTGCCTCAAAAGAGGAGTTAAGCTAATGATATACAATAGGCCTATTGCTTATCCTATACAAAGAAAGATTTTTTTAGAGCACATTACTAAAATGTTAAAGGCTGCAATTAACAACAGAGCCCAATCTATTAAATTCAATTTATATTTATTTTTATATACAATAACCAACACTAATATACAGTGTTCGATCTATACCGTGGACTTTGGGGGAGCCCACTTGTTTTATAAGGGGTGGGGGGGGGGGGGTGCCTCAAAAGAGGGCTTACAAAGATACTTAACAGCTACAAGTGTATGCACTACTTGCTTTATGTCATGGGCGGTAAGGGGCACCGTGGAAAAATCGGGTCTGGGTCCAAATGCAGGTGAAAACCTTTTTTATTCCAAACAGAAAGGCCAACAAGGCAAAACAAAAACAGGTCTAGGGACGACGAACACCATTACACACACAATACAGCCAGGCCGAGTGGTGAGTGAGAGGAGAAGATATAGTCAGTGACAACGGGGCACAGCTGAGGGTGAGTGTGATGAGTGAGTGACTGAACAGGTGTGTGGAGTTTGGGGAATTAGTGTAATGAGTGAACAGGTGTATGGGGTTTGGGGAATGGGAGTCCGGGAGCTGGCGCCCTCTGGAGGAGAGAGGGAGAACACCAGACGCCAGACCCTGACACTTTATGCAAGCGCTATATAGGATAAATTACTATACAGGTTTTACTCTATTATACTTTATCGACAAATTGATAGGTGAAACAACAAACAGCCACCCACAAATAGTCTATAAACAAAGCATCAGGCTGACTTTGAGTTCACATGAACAACGGTTAATGTTACTCGTCGTCAGGCTACAGAAGAATACCATAATTCCTCCGTTCAATTAGGCCTAAGACATAGAGAGTCACGCAGACCTATAACAACCCAGCCACAACACATAATTGCGAATAACATGCCTTACCTTAACACAGAATCGACCACAGAGTCCAACGTTTATATTTTTTCTACGAATCATTGAGTTAACTTACTAAACATGAGTGGAATTTGCACCGCAGCGCCCCCACACCTTGATGCTCATGACAAGAATAGCATGTATAGTTATCTTTATTGAAGTGAATTAGGTTTAAATCGCCTTTCTAGCACCAAGCTTGCCTGAAGTAAAGGTAATGCTGTTTTATTGGCATTTTTCCGCGGTTGCAAAACTGATTGAGATTACATGACATGAGTGTGTTTATTTCACGTTATAACCGGTTGTAACTAGTAGAAAAGAGAATTAAAGGGAAGGGATGATGATATTTGGCTCACTCTGGGTTGGATTATGGCACTGTTTTGGTTCAGTTCTGGCTAAAAATGTTTTGGGCCGGCGAACACAACCTAATCTGGGCCACACTTTAGCTGTTGATATGGGCCAGATCCGCGCCAAAGGAAATTTGCTGACTGGGATCGCTCTCCGTGCTTCCGCTTGCAGCAGTCTGTTAAGCCACATCAAAGAGCGTTATGCCAGGTTAAAGAGATGGGTCTTTAATCTAGATTTAAACTGACAGAGTGTGTCTGCCTCCCGAACAACTCTATGTAGATTGTTCCAGAGTTTGGGCGCTAAATAGAAAAAGGATCTGCCGCCCACAGTTGATTTTGATATTCTAGTTATTATCAAATGGCCAGAGTTTTGAGATTGCAGTGGACGTGAAGAACTATAATGTTATATGAGCTCGCTAAAGTATTGAGGAGCTAAACCATTCAGGGCTTTATAAGTAATTAGCAAGATTTTAAAGAGCAGGTCATATGGTATTTTAAAGTGTCGTAATATTGTGTTGGAGTCCCCAACAACAGGTTTAAATGCATCCAAGGTCAGAAAACATTGTAATTTTCTCAGAATATACATCTAATATTAGAATAATTTTTCAATGATGTCGAAATGATTCGTTCGAAGCAGTTCTGAGCTTCTGTAAACCCCTCCCTGCCATAAGACTACTCTGCTCTGATTGGTCAGCTGACCAAGTCTGTTGTGATTGATCTTTCCTTATATATTGCGCGTCAGAAACGAAACGCCCATTACCATAAATCATTTTTTGCTCCAGAGGGTTACTTGTAAACACAGATGCTATTAGATTACAGAAATTGGGAAGTCGTGGCCCAATGGTTAGAGAGACTCATAACCCAAAGGTTGTGGGTTCGAGTCTCGTACCGGCAGGGATTGTAGTTGGGCGGAGTGAACGTACAGCGCTCTCTCCCACCTTCAATACCACGACTGAGGTGCCCTTGAGCAAGGCCCCAACTGCTCCCTGGGCGCCGCAGCATAAATGGCTGCCCACTGCTTCGGGTGTGTGTGTGTTCACTGCTGTGTGTGTGCACTTTGGATGGGTAAATGCAGAGCACTAATTCCGAGTATGGGTCACCATACTTGGCCACATGTCACGTCACGTCAAAATGGCATTGATATTACCTTATCAATTCAAGCCAGAGTCCGAGGATGATACCAATGCAGTCGCTCAAACGGAAACTCCATCGCAAGCTCAACTTGAT